GATTTTATTCAGAGTCGAATAATCATTAAGTCAAAATTAAAACACACATTATAAACATAAACATACTGCAAAACAAATAAAATGTTATCCAATTTCAACATACCCAGTGTTTGTTCGTCCGATGTTCGTTTGTTAATGCTATTAATTACTTTAGCATTAATATACGATAATCTTCAATTAGCCTCAACAATGGAAATGATCCAAAGTATTTTGTATGAAAATATAAAGTTCCTTTATTTTGCCTTTGTATGTCTGTTTACTCTTTGGCGAAAAGTCAACTCAACATCCCAAGAAATATGTAACGAAATTAATAGAATACGTGAAACGTCCCAAACTGAAAATGAGAAAATTGAAAGAGCTATAGCAGATCTTAATAACAAAAATGAAGGGATCGAAAGAAATATATCAAATCTTAGCACCAACGTTAATAGAATACTTGAGACATTTCAAACTGAAAATGAAAGAATTGAAAGAACTACAGTGGATCTTAATAACAACATTAATAGAATACTTGAAACATTCCAAATTGAAAATGAAAGAGTTGAAAGAACTATATCAAACCTTAGTAACAACATTAATAGAATACAGGAAACATTTCAAACTGAAAGTGAAAGAGTTGAAAAAACTATATCAAACCTTAGTAACAACATTAATATAATACGGGAAACATTTCAAACTGAAAATGAAAGAAATGAAAGAGCTATATCGGATCTTAGTGACAAAATTAATAAAATACGTGAAGCTCAAGGTATATCATGTGAATATATTTATTTCTAACTCGTGTACCAGTATATATTAAGCTAATTTTAATATGATTTATTACTAGCAGGTTTAAATTCATTTGCAAATATAAATCAGTTTTCAACCACAAATCGTACAAGCACAAGACAGTACCCAGATTATTCTAATGAAGAAACACTCTGGAATGAATTTAAATCCTTAGTTGATCAAAAACAAGCAAGCGAAGGTCGTCCTCTAAAAAAAATATTTGATGAAATAGCCTCAAAGATTAATCTATGTTCACGTACTGTTGATAATTTTTATCATCGTAATACAAATCCGCAACAAAGAACAAAGGATGAAATTAGAAAATGGGTTAATGGAGAAGGAGGAAGTCATAGTAATTTAAACAATCATTATCGATAAGTTAAAGATTATTTTTACAAATTTATGGGTATTCAGAAAGAAATAAAATTTGTGTCTTATGAATTTATCGATTTACTGCATATAGAATTATTGTTTAAACATATTAAGTTTATAATATATATGTTACGCGTTGTTTTTGAAATTTGTTGATTATGGATTCACATGTGCTATTTTTAATTTTTAATTGTTTATTATTATAATAAAATATTTTATGAATTTATTTATTTATATTTAATAATGTTCATTGTGTCAGTATGATTCTATAAATTTAGAAAAGTAAAATTTTGATCAGACAAAATATCTCAAGATAATTATAAATTATATGAAGATTTATTTCAAATTAATATAATCAGTAAAGACTTAACGCAAGAAAGTTCTAATATAGAAGGATCATCTCAAGCAAGTTGCTCTTATTGATTAATTGAAGATACAGACCAAGAAAGTCTTATATCAATTTATAGTCAATCTCGTGCAGGCTTTGATACCACAATCAATTACATGATTCAGCAATACAGAAAGTTAAAAAAGTCATCAATTTATTTGTAGCATTATGAAAAGCATCATGAAACCAAATGCACTTTAACTTCAAATCTAGATAACCTTGTAAAATTATTTATAATAATAGCATTATGAAGCAACATTATAAAACTAAAATATGTAATTTTTGAATCCAGGTGATATGACAAATTAAAACTGGATAGACGTTCGTTGCCCTACAAGGTTATCCAAAAATAACTTTAATGTAATTCCTATCAAGTTGGATATGAGTTCAGGATTTTAGATAAATGGCATCCAGCAAATGAATTGGAACCATTGGGTATGAATGAACATCCAGCACTTGATATTATTCCACTTGGCACTTTTATTTCTTTACGAAATGCTGAAACTTAACACACCAAATACAAACAACACAAAATAATGAAGATAATTCATTTATTCAAGACCAAACAATCAGACATGCGAAACCGAAAAGCCCAAAAGTGGCATTTGTAATTGTAGTAGAACAAACTGTACAGCTAAAATTTTGTTCATGCGCAAAAACAATGCACTTTGTACTAGACACTGTGGTTGTGTATTAAGAGATTTCCCGGATCAGCCCGACGTCAAAACAAAACGCGCGCAAAAAGAAAAAAAGAAAAAAACGAAAATACTCAAAAACTAGTGTTTAAATCGGTCTTTGGGCACTAACTGAAAATGTCGGGAGCATAATTTTACATATAAGTATGATCTTTCAAGGCCTATAACCACGAACACTAACTGGAAACATAACATAAAGCCAAAAAAAGCTTATCCGAACGTGCCACAATACGCCACATCACGTTACTGCAAAAGTGTCTAGACTCCTGGCGGAGTCTATAAAAAATTATTTCACGATCTTTTTAACTAAAAAGGAAATGTCGCTTCTAAGCCATTTAAAAAATTCGCACATGGACAAACATGACCAAAAATATCAAATAATCTTAAAAACATTTAATAGTAAGCAAACATTATTTAAGTAATTTTTTTTGGTAAATTATATCAACAATTATAAAGAATCATATTTCACAAACCTCTAAAGTATTTAACATTATTATAATGATTTATTGAAGTCGAACAAATGAAATTAATTCAAGAAGTTAGATATTATCCTGTTTCCCATATTTACATTATATAATAATATCGAATGTTCCGCGATTGAATCTGTAATGATTCTTCGGAGAACTTACTCCTCCTACCAGCCACTATAGCACACCATCTTGTATGTGCGTACACATTTTCCAGATTTTCAGTTGTTATTTCCTTTTATTTATAGATTTAAGTTCGTAGCGCGTATATCGGTGTGCACAAAAACCTTCTAGATATTGTGGCGCACCAACCTTGATACACATTTTCTGGATACTATTTCCTTTTATATACAAAGGGTAGATACCGATCCTAACCACAAAAAGATCAATTCTTGATCCGAACATTTAAACTTGTAGCACGAATGCTTACGTATAAACTTAGTTAAGAAATTGATTATTTCCTAAAATTTAAGGTTTAAATAAATAATTGATATTCATTAAAAATTTCTTAAAATGACGTATGTATGCATTGTGTATATACACATATGCGTATATGGTCTACTTGTGAATAGAGTCACAAGGCGGGACATTATTGCGAGTCCATGTGACAGCAAGTCACTGGACTTGTACATGACGAAATGTTATTTGAGTAACCTGATGATCTGCATTGATTTCTTTGTTCTTTGAATTTTCTGCTCGACACCACGCCCAGAAAAAAAAAAAAAAAAAGGGGGGGAGGAAGGTGATACACTATTGCAAGACACTGCCTTTCTGGAAAAAAAAAAAAAAAAGCCTAAAGTACGATGCTCGAAGAGTCTGCTCACGTGACCTCCTGCGGCTTGTTCGGCGACCCTATCCCATATTGTATTATCTGCACAGATATATTTTTGGCAAGGACGTGATTGTAGGTATGAAAAGGTTGGTCACGACTGTCGTGTGCGAGGAAGGGGCACATGACGAGCAATAATAATAGGTATATATGCGTATGACAATATTTTATGAATCATGAAGTTTATAAATGGTGATATATTCTTGCTTGACATTTTATTCAGAGTCGAATAATCACTAAGTCATAATTCAAATAAGCATTATAACATAAACATACTGCAAAACAAATAAAATGTTATCCAATTTCAACATACCCAGTGTTTGTTTGTCCGATGTTTATTTGTTAATGCTATTAATTACTTTAGCATTAAGATACAATAATCTTCAATTAACCTCAACATTGGAAATGATCAAAAGCATTTTGTATGAAAATATAAAGTTTCTTTATTTTACCTTTGTATGTCTATTTACTCTTTGGCGAAAAATCAATTCAACATCCCAAGAAATATGTAACGAAATTTATAGAATACGTGAAACGTCCCAAACTGAAAATGAGAAAATTGAAAGAGCTGTAGCGGATCTTAGTAACAATATTAATGGAGTACGTGAAACGTTTCAAACTGAAAATGAAGGGATCGAAAGAAATATATCACATCTTGGCATCAACATTAATAGAATTTGTGAGACATTTCAAACTGAGAATGAAAGAATTGAAAGAGCTATAGCGGATCTTAATAATAACGTTAATAGAATACGTGAAACATTCCAAATTGAAAATGAAAGAGTTGAAAGAACTATATCAAACCTTAGTAACAGCATTAATAGAATACGGGAAACATTTCAAACTGAGAGTGAAAGAGTTGAAAGAACTATATCAAACCTTAGTAACAACATTAATATAATACGGGAAACATTTCAAACTGAAAATGAAAAAATGAAAGTGCTATATCGGAACTTAGTGACAAAATTAATAAAATACGTGAAGCTCAAGGTATATCATGTGAATATATTTATTTCTAACTCATGTGCCTGTATATATTAAGCTAATTTTAATATGATTTATTACTAGCAGGTTTAAATCCATTTTCAATCACAAA